AAGAAGAAGAAGAGCTGGAACCATTTATTTAGGACACCGTGCTGGCCAGGGAGGCGCAGGGGGCTGGGCTTTCACACTAATAAATAGAGGTGGGGCAAGATCTCCGTGGGACGGTTGCTGCTCAGTCCTCATTCTTCTCCGGCACGAAAGCATCTGCCTTCCGGGCAAAGGTTTCAGCCACAAGCAGAGGGAAGGCCAGGGAGACATCAGCACACACCTTGACAGGCTCTGCGTCCACCCGGATCTTGCCCCATGAGACAGCCTCATCCGGCCGGGCACTTGAATCAGAGCCATCGAACTCCTGTTCCGCATGAGGTTGGCGTTGGCGATGTGGTGCTTGACCAGGCCCCCGCCCAGGATGACCATTCCAGAGTGCTTGGCGAAGATGGCCTGTGTGTTGATGAGCCTCGGGTCCTCAACCATGTCCAGGACCAGGCCAGGGTTCTTGTAGGAATGGAAGAAGATCATGTCGCCCAGCGAGCCGTCCGTGAGCGCCGGGCTCAACACAGGGATGTGGCTCTTCCGGACCCAGTAATACACCGACTCAGGATTGTTGATCTCCTTGCCTAGCCGGGCGATCATGAGGGCGTCCACTTCACACTCTCCGTGTTCTGCTCCAGCACCATCTGGTCCAGAATGGGCATCAGCCAGTCTTCAAACTTGCAGTAATTGTCATTGGGCACCAAGAGATTCCCAATCCTGTTGATCCCATTCTCTCGGAGTTCCTTCCCCCTGAGGCTAAACTCGCCCAGGTACATGGGTGCCGGGCTTCTGGAAGCGCTTGTTGCAGGGCTCAGCACAGAGCACAGCGCATGTGGCATTGCTTCAAGGACAGTCCCTGGGGGGTGAGGCTGGACCAGCCATGAGCAGGCTGAGGGTGTGTTGTGTGGACATCACAGCAATCTGAACTTCTCTCCCTGCAGGAGCCGTGTGTGAGATACCTGCCCAAACTCTACCTGGATATTCACGTAAGATGGATCTTGGTCCGGTGGGTGGCATAGGGGTATGGATGGGTGAGTAGATGGAAGGATAGATGGATGGGGGAGAGAGTGGTTAGTTGGATGGTTGAGTGAGTAGGTGAATAAACAGATAGGTGGATGGATGGGTGAGGGACTAGATGGATGGATAGATGGATGAGTAG